CATCAATTAACTCCATGGATAAGTCCGGATCCTCTTCGGAGGCCGGATCGAGGGACAACTCTGGGTCCTCAGGCTGTGGAGGCGGGCTGTTTATGTCCTTTACTTCCTGGCGCAGTTCCTGCGTTGAAGTCGTTAGACTATATATTTAATGATGGGAATACAAAACAGACGGGCAAGTAAAATTGCCCACTTACCCAACTTGGGGGATTGTACATGGTAAATCCACCCTGTGGGTTGACGCGGAGAAATTCCTCCTCTTCTCCCTTGTACAAAGCGGACAAGATCTTTACTAGAGCGGTAGCCGAGTCCGGCCCCTTACGGCCGTGACGGGTGGCATCATCCTCCCCGTTGAAGTCCCACATGGGGTGGCCTCTGTACTGAAGCGGTTGCACCCCTCGCATGATGCATGCGGCCATGACTCCGATCATGGTTAGTCCGGAATGAGCTAATAATCTTATCCGGCCCATCAGGTAAAGAACGTCCTTGTCACTTTCTCTCTGAGGGCTCCGTGGGTGCCAGCTTAGACGTTTCTTCAGGGGAGCGCTGTTGAACTCAGGGAGGCCGATCCGAACAGGATCCGGCAACGGGACGTCCTCTATATAAAACCATTCTGAAGGCCAGTCCTCGGACGCCTTCTTTGGGGTTCCGGATAGATATCCGGTCCTGGCGATACACCACACTTTGGCTCCGCCCACTTGATATATTGACCCCTCCTAAGAACAGGGCACAAGGCAAAATAGCCTCTTCCACAGCGCGAAATGAGCCTCAACACCCAAAAACAACTCGCAAAGGGCTACGAAGCCCGCAATATGCAATACGGAGACAGGCATGAGGTTGTGCAGCTGGAGGCCGTAGAACTCCAGGAGCCCCCGGAGAAATGGATGAATTGGAAATCCGAGCCCTCTTATTAAATAAGGGACAAGGCATACCCGCTCTCCTTTGGAGGGATTGGGGGCGTTCTCCGCTTGCTCTCCGCCATTATAGGTGGCAAGTCCGGCTCGAACCGGGACCATATAGGCAGGAGGAAGAAATCCCTTTGGTCCGAAGCGACACTAGCTCGATGTGCGGGACGGAGCATCTCTCCCAATCTCCAGGATGAGGGCTGGAAGGGCGAGAGGAGGAGCTGCGACCGCTGGCCATGATGGAACGGTCCTTTGTCGGATGCGCTCTGATGAAACTCGCGGAGAGGAGAAGGTGTGGTTTGGATCTAAATCCCCGTCCCTTTAAATAGGCAGCTCATTTACGCGGCTGGGGGTGTGAATGTAAAAACACCCAGACTTTTCGTATTCATTTGACACGTGGAAGACGGCCATTATTGGGCGTGGAAGCCGAGGAGCGCTACATTTATAAGAAACCGGACATTATTCAGCAGGTACACAGAAATTGAAGGAGAACCCGCCTTGCAATGCCGAAGACAATTTGCGCGCCGGACTCGTCGTCATTGAAGCCTCGTTCGGGGGCTCTGAGGGAGTCCTGAATTAGGGGGTGTCCGGATAGCCGGACGATACCTTCAGCCGGACTCCCGGACTATGAACATACAAGATTGAAGACTTCGTCCCGTGTCCGGAAGGGACTTTCCTTGGCGTGGAAGGCAAGCTTGGTGATACGGATATGTAGGTCTCCTACCATTGTAACCGACTCTGTGTAACCCTAACCCTCTCCGGTGTCTATATAAACCGGAGGGTTTTAGTCCGTAGGACAACAACAATCATACCATAGGCTAGCTTCTAGGGTTTAGCCTCCTTGATCTCGTGGTAGATTTACTCTTGTACTACCCATATCATCAATATTAATCAAGCAGGAGTAGGGTTTTACCTCCATCGAGAGGGCCCGAACCTGGGTAAACATCGTGTCCCTTGTCTCCTGTTACCATCCGCCTAGACGCATAGTTCGGAACCCCCTATCCGAGATCCGCCGGTTTCGACACCGACACTGGGTGATGTTTAAGCTTATTTATGAAAACAAGAGCAAAAGAGTTCATAATTTTTTTTCACTTTCAGTTTATCAACTGAATTGCTTAAGGACAAGCAAAGGTTTAAGCTTGGAGGAGTTGATACGTCTCCGTCGTATCTACTTTTCCTAACACTTTCCTCTTGTTTTGGACTCTAATTTGCATGATTTGAATGAAACTAACCCGGACTGACGTTGTTTCCAACAAAACTACCATGGTGTTTTTTTTGTGCAGAAATAAAAGTTTTCGGATTGGAACAAAACTTTGCGAGGAATTTTTATACAAATACAGAGAATTTCTGGAGCCAAGAACAATCGGAGGGGGGCACCTGGATGGGCACAACCCACCAGCCCCCCCCCCTCCAAGCACACCCAGGTGGGTTGTCCCCACCTGGTGGCCCCGCAGGCCCTGAATCCGACGCTATAAAATCCTATTTTTCCAGAAAAAAATCAGGGAGAAAGAATTATCACGATCCACAAGACGGAGCCGCCGTCATCTCCTGTTCTTCATCGGGAGGCTAGATTTGGAGTCCGTTTGGGGCTCCAGAGAGTGGGATCTTCGATCTTCGTCATCACCAACCCTTCTCCATCGCCAATTCCATGATGCTCCCCACCAGGAGTGAGTAATTCCTTCGTAGGCTCGCTGGTCAGTGAGGAGTTGGATGAGATTCATCATGTAATTGAGTTAGTTTTGTTAGGGCTTCATCCCTAGTATCCATTATGTTCTTGATTGATGTTGCTATGACTTATGTTATCACCATTATATCTATGTTCTAGATCCAACCTTGCAAGTTATAGTTACCTACTACGTGTTATGATCCGGCAACCCCGGAGTGACAATAGTCGGGACACTTCCCTGTGATGACCGTAGTTTGAGGAGTTCATGTATTCACGTGTGTTAATGCTTTATTCTGGTTCTCTATTAAAAGGAGGCCTTAATATCCCTTAGTTTCCAATAGGACCCCGCTGCCACAGGAGGGTAGGACAAAAGATGTCATACAAGTTCTTTTCATAAGCACGTATGATTATTTATAGAATACATGCCTACATTATATTTATGAACTGGAGCTAGTGCCGTATCGTCCTAGGTTGTAACTGTCACATGATGAATATCATCCAACAAATCACCGATCCAATGCGTACGATTTTCGTACATATTGTTCTTGCTAAGTTACTGCTGCTGCTGTTACTATTGTCACTGCTACAAAACCATTGCTACCACTGTTACCGTTACTGTTGATGTTGCTACTACTATCAAAACTATCATACTACTATGCTACTGATCACTTTGCTGCAGATAATTAATCTTCAGGTGTGGTTGAATTGACAACTCAGTTGTTAATACTTACAAATATTCTTTGGCTCCCTTGTGTCGAATCTATAAATTTGTGTTGAATACTCTACCCTCAAAAACTGTTGCGATCCCCTATACTTGTGGGTTATCAGGCATCAAGAGCTACACGCATTGTATGCAACCCTTCGTTAAGACAAGAAAATATAACTTTGTGGCCGGTAACGATAATCACAACCACTTGGCACATACAATAAACATATAACTTTCTTACAATCATCGAAAGGATGACAGATGACTCAATTTGACAGTCAGTTACGGGAATAAATCTGAAGTGCCCAGCCACTGTCTCATCACAACCACTTGGGCCTCCTTTGATTTGGAGGAATCTTGTAAGAATTTCATAGGATAGGATTTCTATAGGAAAAATTCCTTTAGAGTCCTTTGGTTTGTAGGAATGGAATCCTAATCCTATGGAGGAATTCTTCCTCTCCTTCACATTTCATAGGAAAATAAACATTAGCCTAGATTCAATGAAAAAATCCTATGATGTGAATCAAAGGGCATCTCCTTTCCTATTCCCAATCATAGGATTTGAGATACATGTCATCTCATTTCCTATGACTTTCCTATTCCTATGTTTTTTCTACCCTATGAACCAAAGGAGGCCTTGACATATACAGTAAACATGTGACATTGAGGTGGTTTTTAGGTAGAATCAATGGGGAGAAAAATCAAAGATGGGAGAAAAAATCAAAACAGGAAGGATTCGTAGGGAGGATGGATGAAGGAAAGATGTATGACAAAACCTTAAGTTCTTTTTGAAGTAGTGAAGATATATCATATATCATTATGCCGCTCCATGGAGCCATAATACATTGACCAGCAAGACATTACTACTAAAAGTAAAACAAGCAAGACAATAAAACATGATTCGCCGCTCCATGGAGCCATAACACATTGAGTCGTCCAATTTTGTGTATTGGATGTGTGCATTGATTGCACCCAAATTATGACAAAAAGAAACAAATTGCGGTGGAACTCATATTATTAATTTTCAGATAATACATGTATACGTCGATTGTTGTATTTTTTTTAAAGCAAGTCAAGCGTGTCTTACTACTAAAAATAAAACAAGCAAGACATTAATACATGATTCGTAATGGGAACGTTTAAACAAAGCGTGCATGCATGAGAATTAGCATAATGTGGTATCTGAATGCTGCTATTTTGCATGCATGGTAGTATGTAGATGATGTTGCGTGTGAATAGGTGTTTAAGGCACCACTTAGGCACCATTTTTGCCGGCGGCCTGCTGAGAGATGGCCCCGTACTTCATTGCATCAGCCTCGGATTTCGCGGCATCCTTCTTAGCGGATGTTGCCTCTTCAGGTCTTGTGGTGGTTTCAGCCTTCTTGATGGACTTCTCGGCAGCAGCTATGCGAGCACCTGCCAAGGTACCGGCAGCTTCTTTCCTGCTAGGGGAGGTAGAAGAACTTGTACCAGCTACTTGCTGAGAAATGACACCATACTTTGATGCAGCAGCGGTAGACTTGGCTGCAGCTTGCTTGGCAGCCGCGGCCTCTTCAGGTGTGGTAGCGGTTTCAGCCTTCTTGGTGAACATCTTAGCAGCATCAGTGGTGCCTTCTTTCCTATTGGGGGAGGTAGAAGAACTTGTACCGGCTGCTTTCCGAGAGATGGCACCATACTTTAATGCATTGTCAACAGACTTTGCTGCGTCTCGCTTGGCAGCCACGACCTTTGCAGGTGTCTTGGCGGTTTCGGCCTTCTTGATGGACTTCTCGGTGGCGGCATAGTGTGCGGCGGCTAAAGTATTGGCTGCTTCTTTCCTGCCTAGGGAGGTAGAAGAACCTTTACCATTTTCCTGCTGAGAGATGGCATTGTACTTTAATGCAGCAGAAGCAGATTTTGCTCCATCTTGCTTGGCAGCCGCGGCCTCTTCTGGTGTGGTGGCGCTTTCAGCCTTCTTGATGGACTTCTCGGCGGCAACAACATGTGTAGCTGCTAAGGTAGCGTCAACCCCTTTCCTGCTGGGCGTAGCCATCTTCAATGTGTTCTCCTCCGCAACGCCATAGGTCTCGGCTGGCCTTGTGGCCGCCACCGCCACAATGGTGGTGAGAAATAACATGGCCATGACATTCTTTCTGTTGGCCATTAGTAATTTCTCAAGTGGTATGTTAGGCGCGCGGAGGATTTGAAATGGTGGAGACACATGATTCGTAGAGGTGGTAGGCTTTTATAGAGACAATGTGAGGTCAGGAAATCTCTCCCATGAATGTGAGGTCATAAGGGGTCAACAATGAATGTGAGGTCACCAGAACCCTAGAAAGGTATGTGGTAACCCATTTGTGGAAGCATGCATGCATGCATGCGTGTTTTGCGTTTTCTTTTCTAGTTTCTCTCTATGTATGGACCGTGGGAACAAAAATAGATTTCTAAGTGCGAGCTCAGATGCTCTTGAAATCCAGGCCTTCTACTCTTTTCGAGATTGTTGTAGGTACCATTACGTGACTTCCAGCCCAGACCAGGAGGTCCTTCTCATCGTACTGGAATGGGAGACCCTAGGGACGCGCGCGAACTCCGACGGACACCATGCACGACTGTAGGTGCATGCATATCCGTGCGGTGCATTAATGTTGTGGCAAGTGACGTGACATGAAACAGCTTGTTGCCATGGTGAGCAAGGTGTGACATGAGCAACAACCATGAGAAGTCGTCTCCAGTGTTGAAGTCAACTACGTAGATGAATGGGTTGTCCATTATGGCTTAGGATGACCTGGTTGGTGATGAAGCACACAAACTTCACGAAGGACGCTACCTCTTGTAGCGTCTGGTAAGCTAGCAATCTGTTGGCCGATGTCGGTCGTGGATGACATTCGGTGTGCGTACCGACGATCCTACACCGCAGGCCCCAACTGGAGCTATACAAAATCTTTAGGCCATGACTCGGATTCAAAGTTTCAAAGTCACACCACGGGCTAGCAAAGTGAGCCACGACTTAGATGAATGGAGACGATTAGGTGCCATGGATCAGAATCCAACCAAGATGGCACTGCCTGTCCTTCGTTCGAACCCTCCTCGTGTGCTACATGATAGACCCACATGTATCGCACTATTCATGCATGTATAGTTCGTTTTGGGGATTTTCCACGCCCTAGCAATGCAACCTCATGCCCCATTTCCCGAATCTCCATGCAGCAATGAACAAACATAATAGCAGGTGCATCTAAGCTTAGGCTCCGAAATCACTGCTCCCATGTGGGATGCCTCCACTCTGGCTTGCCACATGGATCTGGCTGCCGTCGTCGCCTCCTCCAAGCTACCTCAAGCTCCTCCTTCACGCGGTTGGCCCCGATGAGCTCTCTTTGCCAGAAGAGGTGGATGAGTAATGCATCCAAGCCCGTGCACCCTCTTTTCCCCTGCATCCACGTGTATGAGGGCCCCCTCCCCGAGGTCCACCACCTTCACCGAGTGCGTCCCCGAGCTCTCGACACAATATCCACCAAGCCCACTACCGATGTTGTTGAGTTCGTCCTACGGCCCTTCTCCGACATCCTTTAGTGTGGCCTGAAATCACATCAGCGTCGCGTGGAGTCGCCCATCACTAATTATCCTGCCATCAAGAAAGACGAATTTCCCTGATCACCTCTCCTCCCGTGCTCTAGTGCTACGTGTTTGTTGCTATTGCGGTCTTGGACGGCAAGGTCATAGAGATGGAGGCACCAGCAGCATCGGCGGTCATTTCTTCTTCTACACAACAATATGATGAGATGCGGCCAGTGGCGCCCACGCAATGTTCACTCATGATAGGTCCCCTATGCAGTTTCTTCGTTGGTCGGCTTTCCTTTTGGCCGGCTTCATGTGATATTATAAAAAGTAGATGTACCACTTGATACTTTCGCCAACTTCTCTTCATTTCTTTTTCCCTCGGTTATACGAGACTTATTGATCTACTATCGCTCCTCACATTCGGTCAATCAATAGAAACAACAAGAGATTTGGGGGGATTTGCCTAGGGTTCGGCACCAACAGAGGTGCAAGATTGACCCAGCCATGGAGCCGGGTCACGACGGCTAAGGTTTAACCCTTTGAAACATGAGATGCCTCTACTACCAACAAATCATTGCCTTTACTAGGTGAATGGCCGTGCATTGCAACGGGGAACATTCATGAATCCGTGAGTGATATATTCAGGTGATGCTATCAAGAATCAATCAACTTTACGCTCTTGTTAGAACATCGTACATGTGCAATGTATGTATTTCTGCCAACATTTTCCAATGTTTATCTGACTATTTTCAAGGCTGATCTGTATGCTGGCATGTCTCCTCACCTTGAATCTACGAATATGCCCAGAGAGGGCATTTGCTATCAAGAGTATTTAGTTCAGTCAAGTAGTAGACGCATTTTCTTTAGCACTGCAATAAAAAGTGTTTTTGTCAGGACAATAAATTGCAAGCACAAAAGGAAAGGAACCATTTTTTACCTAATAACCCAACTTTTAAGTAAACTTTGAAGAAAAGGCTCATGAACCACAAAATTGAACAATGTTTAAACGAGTCATTGTTCTTCAGTTTTTTTCATTAGAAACAGGGTGACAGTACGTGTCACTTAGCAGCAAGATTGCAGCCACTATAGCGTCCTTCTACATGTAGCACTTGAGAACTTCCCATCAAACAATGGCAAACTTGACTCACAATGGCATGCTGCGGGGCGGGTGCCTCGGCTCATCAGATGTCGCCACATGCATGGAAGTAGTTCTGCCCACATCCAAGAGTTCGGAAGACAAGAAACTTTTCCGCAGAAAAGAAGAAATACTCATAAGAAATATCTAAGGACAGCATGATTTACTCATTATGTAAAATATCATCCCTTTTAAGGGTCACCAAGTCTACGTTTTATTCGTTGGACCAAAAAAATATTCATTACAGAAATTCAGATTGCGAGCTACCTGGTCACAAGACTACTTAAAGTGTGAGGAAATTAAACTGCCGGAAGCGTGAAAGGCACACAATGGATTGTACCAGTAAATTATATCCGATCATTCTTTGTAAAATAGGTAAATATGATAACCACGATATAATCACCGTATATAGTCTCCTCAGGTTAATGAATGCATCTAGTCCTCGTTGTAATGTAACAACCACACAAGATCAGGGAAGAGAAAAATACCATGTCCAACTCTGGACCTTGATGGGCTTTGTCCTGCCCATTCATCTTTTCCAAACCTATATAACGCATGGCTATTCCAAATCTGTGTATCCCATAGATTCATGAGAATGCAATAAAAAGGAAATGAAATTACATCGCTCCCTCCAAGGACCATCTAGGGAGACCACACGATTGTCCTTTTAATGGTTCTTCTGAGCTTCTTATCTGTGAGAAATCTTTCGATCTTTTTATTTTCAATCATGACAATACAATGAACAATAGGAATAATAAAAATCGCATCCATCCGTAGACCATCTAGCAAAGACTACAAGCATTAAAGCGAGCCGAAGACGCGCCGTTGTCATCGCCCTTCCCTCGCCGGAGCCGGGCAGAACTTATTGTAGTAGACAGCCGGGAACTTGTCATGCTAAGGCCTCGTAGGACCAGCGCAATAGAATAGTAACCCCCGCCGATGATGAGACCCATAGATCGGAAGGATCCAATCTAACGACAGACAAATGTAGACGAACGAAGACCGGGTCCGAGTAGATCCACCAAAGACAAACCACCTACCGAATCCTGTGAGATCCGCCGGAGACACACCTCCACACACTCTCCAACGATGTTAGATGCGCCATCGAGACGGGGGCTAGGCGGGAAGAACCTTATTCAATCTTCACGAAGCCGTCGTTGTCTTATCCTCTTTAGCAGGACACAACCCTAACAAAATTCAAAGAAATATTTAAAAACGAAGCCCTCCCGCTGGTAAGGGATGAGATCCACCGTGTCCCCATGGCCCTAGGGCCACCGGAGACGAGGTGGACCGGCAGCGGCGCCACGGGAGGCATGGCCACATAGGAACCCTAAGCTTTTTTGGAGAGGAAGTGACGGCTATGGTTCCTCTGAGCTACCTATGCACCGAACTACAACCCTAAAATTATTATAAAATTGATCATTTACAACATTTATATAAGATTCATAATTCGATGAGCAAAGGGACAATTATGGATGTGAATAGTATCAAATTCAAATGTGACGTCAAATATTAGATGTTAGTACGGTCTACGTTGGTCTTTTTATTTCTCGAGTAGCACATCTACTTTAGGCTTCGAATTTTAAGAGGAGCATTGATCAACCCACTTGGCTGACCATCGCATCTCAACTGACTCCATATAGATCTCTAGACGACCAGCCACTAGCTGGACTAAGAAGGTTGATCGATCATCAATGGGATGCCAATTGTTCTTAGATATACTACTAACTAGAAGGGTTGTGCGCGCTTTGCTGCGCCGTTCATGTTGTTGGATATCTTAAAAAACTAATCACTCTGTTTCCCAATATAATGTGTATTATATTTTTTAAAATCAAACCTTTTAAGTTTCATCAAATTTGTAGAGAAATATATCAAAATTCATAAGATTAAATCAGTATTTTTAGATTCATCACGAAATGAATTTCCATACTTTTTTTGTTTAATATTGTGGATGTTGATATTTTTGCTCTGAAGTTGGTCAAAGTTAAAGAAGTTTGACTTTCTACAAAATTAATACCCTTCATATTTTATAACTGATGGAATATTAAGTTAGGCGGGTGGGGAGATGACTGTGTCATCCGCTAACCAACCTATATTTATGTGGGAAAATTTCTGCATCGGTGGTTGCATGTACTATATTGATACTACAATATCATATGGTGACGCTTCTTTTTTCTAGGTGGTGGGAGGGGTGCATGGGATTGATATGTTTTTATAGGTCAGTTGCAGCTGATTGATTTGAAAATCATTGGCCCAGTCAAAATCGTCAACCAAATCAAAATTGAATACCTCAATTGAATGAAAGAGATTCAAAATTTTGGAACATAGTGAATTAAAAAAATTCAATTGAAGAGGTTGAGAAATTGTTGACCCAGTCAAAATTGGATGATCAACCTATATTAAATACCTTAATAATTATGAGGCCTTAAAAATTAGGAAGCATATTGTATAGTATAAAAGAATTGGATTGTGAAGCTTTGAGAAATTGTAGACCCGATCAAAATTGGATGATCCAATTCTAATTAGAGACCTTAATTGAGTGTGGGCTTTTTAAAACTAGGGAGCTTAGTGTTATAGAGGATTTGTGGACACGATGCAATTGATCTCAACTCTAATATAGCTATACACATAAAACTAAAGAATAATAACCTTCTCAATTCTCACCTTGCAAAATTTAGAAAAGATAAGTAGGAGTCCGTTGAAAAAGGCAACAATGTCAATGTGAGAACAGAGTGAGGTGGGGGAAAAGAGGCTAGAATGAAGAGAGAGAGAGAGAGAGAGAGAGAGAGAGAGAGAGAGAGAGAGAGAGAGAGAGAGAAACATGAACACACACAAAATGCTAAAAACAAACATAGTTCACATATGATTTTTTTTTACTTGTAGAAATCATACTTTCAAGTTTTGAGAAAATATATATCCGTATGAACTTTTCTGCTCCATCCAATCCATATTAATTAGATACATCTGTTTGAGCGACATATAATTTGGATTGGATTGATTAGCAAGCATAACCATTTAAAAAAATCGGAAAAAAGTAACCATTTACTACCTATAAAAAAAGCATAGCCATTTACTCCCTTCGTTTTTATTTACTCTCCATATTAGTTTTAGTCAAAGTCAAGCTTTATAAATTTTGACAAAGTTTATAGTCAAAAATATTAACTTGTACAATAACAAATCAATACCATTATATTCATTATTGAACATACTTTCGTATCATATAGATTTGTTAGGGTAAATATTTATATATTTTCTATAAACTTGGTCAAACTTTACGAAGTTCGACTTCAGTCAACTCTAATATGCAGAGTAAATAAAAATGGAGGAAGTACTATACCTACAAAAAAATCACAAGATAAGTACAAGTCGTATAATAACTTATTTTGTGATATAATCTTATCGCTCAAAGCCATTTTCCTTATTATACCGATTGCATAATGATTGCATGTATGAAAGTTTCCATGAGGCTCAATGTATTATGTATGTTTTTTAAATGTAGTTTGTATTTTTGAAAGACGTAAAGACCCCTGGGATTCAGTGATATTGCAATTTGGGGAGCCTCCATTCGCATCGCGCCTGCCATTCCGCATTTTTCCTCTCCACTCACAGCGGACCGGAAAATCTCTCCGGCGGCGCCGCCGCCGCCGCCGCCGGCGAAGCGCCATCCTCGCCGGTCTCTTCTCCTCTTCACTTCCTCCGTGCCTTCACCTGTCTCGCCGGGGCGCCGCATCCCCTCCACCGAAGCACCATCCCATTCGCACCCTGTCTCCATCGGGAATCAATCTCTCCGCCGCCGCCGCCGCCGCCATGCTCCGCCTCCGTGGCTGCATCCTCGTGCGGCTCCTCTCTTCTCCCGCCACCTCTCAGGGCCCCCCTCTCCACCGCCCCCTCTCCGCGGCCGCCGTTTCCCCAAACCCTAGCTTCGTCGCCGACGACTACCTCGTCTCCACCTGCGGCCTCACCCGAGCCCAGGCACTCAAGGCCTCCGCCAAGCTCTCCCACCTCAAGTCCCCCGCCAAGCCCGACGCCGTCCTCGCCTTCCTCGCTGGCCTCGGCCTCTCCGCCGGCGATGTCGCCGCCGTCGTCGCCAAGGACCCGCTGTTCCTCTGCGCCAGCGTGGAGAAAACCCTGGGCCCCGTCGCAATTGAGCTCGCCGGCCTCGGCCTGTCGCATTCCGAGATCGCGCGCCTCATCCCGCTCTCCTTCGTCCACTTCCGCTCCAGGTCCATTGTTTCCAAGCTGCGGTACTACCTGCCCCTCTTAGGCTCCTCGGAGAACCTCTTCCGGGTGCTCAAGAAAGGCTACCTCGCCGGTGCTGACATCGAGGGGACGGTCAAGCCCAATGTTGCGCTCTTACGACAGTGCGGGCTAGATGATTGCGATATCACCAAGCTGTCCCTCGCTAAGGGCGGAGTCCTGAGCAGCAAGCCAGAGCGCGTCCGGGTGATGGTGGCATGCGCCGAAGGCCTTGGCGTACCTCGTGGCTCGGGGATGTTCAGGCACGCGTTGGATGCCGTCGGATTCCTCGGTGAGGAGAAGATCGCCGCCAAAGTGGCCTACTTGAAGAAGACGTTCAGGTGGTCAGACGCTGAGGTGAGCATTGCTCTGCGTATGGCTCCGTGTGTGCTGAGGAAGTCAAAGGAATTACTGCAGCGCAGGTCTGATTTCCTCATCTCTGAGGTGGGGTTGGAACCGTCCTACATTGCTGAACGGTCAATAATTATCAATTACAAGCTGGAGGGCCGGATGAAACCCAGGTACTACGTTGTAAAGTTTCTCATGGAAAATGGATTGCTCAAGTGCAACCCAGGCTACTACTATACCGCTTTCAAGGTGAGAGAGAAGGTATTCGTGGAGAAGTTCATTTCCCCTCACACGGAAGTTGCGCCGCACCTCGCTGAAGACTATGCAACAGCTTGTGAAGGGGTAGTGCCGGCTAGATTCAGATTTACATGAACCAAGGACTGGGTTCTCACCATGCCTGCGAAGCTGGTAATTCACATTAGTGCTTTTTGCCTAAATAAATGTTGGGTTTCTGCTGTATTATGTCTGCCACATGCTGGTTTGGTTGTTGCCAATGCCTAAGGAAACTGATAATTTAGTTCCTGAGCCTTCAGGTGTTAATGTTGTCATTAGGTAGACAAGAAAGCATCGCTTACAATCTCTGAAATGAGAGCCATGAATATATTTGTCTTTCCGACATCCATTTAGGATAATGGAAACTGAATATGTGGGTAGACCAATTTTCTTTTGAAACCAGAACCCATGAACCAGAAAACAAAAGGACTGTACCACATCCGTTTCCAGTAAATATATCGATATGATTTGCTTCTGCTCCAAATTTTATGTTTCCATTTTCATTGATTTGCCTTTTGTTTTCCATCATCTGCAGTTCAGTTTTTTACTTCTAGGCCATGCTTAGAAAATAAGTTTCTATTGGGTGCCTTCTGATATCTTTCCCCTTATGCTTCTAAGATTGATTATCTTTGTTCCTATATCCTGTAGCTGATTTTACTACGCTGAGACAATTTTCGAACATGAAAAGGTAACCTATTTGGGACTGAAGCATGATCTATGATGAAACACTTTTGCATAAAAACTGCAAATGTCAACCGCTGATGATTGGCAAGATTAACAATACCATATGTTCAGTTAAAACAAAAATTACTGTAATGCTCATTGATGAGTATTAATTCCCAGTCCAGCAATTCATTTTGCAATTATAGTTTCCGTGCCTTGTTAGGGATTAAAAATATGTACATTTGTCAGTACCCATCAATGTTTATCTCCGTGAACATTCAAAGTTCTGTGGTAAGAGCAAGGAGTGTTTCAGATGTGGGTATTGTAGCTGGATTTTGTTTTGCGATTGTTGTGTACTCTGTATCCACCTTTGGTCACACATGTGATATGAGAACTGAGATAAGCCTTGGAGACTATGCTGACGCTTGCAGAGGGGTAGTTCCGACTAGATTCAGATTTACATGAACCAAGTACGGGCTATGGAAATTAATTATTGTGTATGATATGACAGAGTTCTCACCATACCTACGAAGCTGGTAATCACATTAGATCTTTCGCCTAAATAGATGTAGATTTTGTGCTGTAGAATGCATGCCAATTGCTGGTTTGGTCGTTGCTAATGCCTAATGAAACTGACTATTTAATTCTTGAGCCCTGAGGTGTTAATGTTGTCTTTAAGTAGAGAAGAAAGCATCGCCATTTTTTAGGATAATGGACGTTGGATGTGTGGGTAGACTCATTTTATTTTGAAACCAGCACCTAGAGAAGAGAACCAGAAAGGAAAAGAACTGCCTTGCTGTTTTCCAGTAAATATGCTTTCCAGAGATTTTCTTTCACTCCAATCTGTTTTCAATTTATTGTTTTTTGCTTACCACCATATGTTAGTTAGTAGTAACTCTGCAGCTCTTCTATCGGAAATATGCTTAGGAAATATGTTTCTATTGGGTGATCTTCTATGCCTCTTGATTTCTTTCCCTTTATCATTGTAAGATATATCCTGTAGCTGGTTTTACTCCGCTCAGAAAACTTTCGAACATGAAAAGGCAACTTATTTGAGACTGAAGCATGATCGATAATGAATTAGTCTCATCATTTTACACCTGCCATTGATCATCAAAACTAAACCAATGGAGATGGCATGAATTAGACTTGTGATTTCTGCTACTCAGTGCTCACATATGCGAGTACCTCATCACAAAACCACATTTATTTATTTATTTCTGCTGTTGTATCTCATCACAAAAACTACATGTATATTGATTTTGCAAAGCTTGAAAGGTGACATGAGAGCTGAGATAAACCTGAATGAAAGATCCCCAACAAGGTGAACAGTTCCACTGGCAGCCTGCTTCGAGGACAAGTTTTTGTAAGGAGAACCGTGGATCTGGACACAGGGTGCGCAGTTTGCTTCAACAGAGGATGGCTGCCACATATTCCTCAGATGTGGGATGATGTCGGAGCTACCGCAGCCTGAAAGACATCCCTGCTTTATCTCTTTGATGAAAGCGCATTATCAGGGAAGGGGTTAATTGAAGTGGCGTGGAAGCTTTGACCATGAACCGCGACCGGAGATCTGGCTCCTGCTCTGGGTTTGTTGCAAGCACAAGAAACAAGTTGAATGCCAAAGGAAAGGGAACTGGAGAAGCTCGGATGATGTTCGCCTGCCATCAGGTACACTGCCAAGCAAATCGGTGGGGTGGCGTTCATTTCGTCCTTGCTAAGCATTTGACCCCCTTGGTTACTGAAAGGAACTAAGCTGGCGTTTTTCGCCCATTCTGTTGCTACTAATCCCTCCGTCCGGAAAAACTTGTCCCAAGCTTGTTCCTCAAATGGATGTATATAGCACCACCATTTGAGGGGCAAGTTTTTTCGGACGGAGGGGGTACTAGAGTAGCGTAGCATCATCGCCTGCTATCTCATGCCTCTGTCTTTTCCTGCACTTCTCGTTCTTAGCTCTGGTTTTTGGCTTGTAAGAGAACATGTTTCACAAAGGTGAACTAAGTTTAGGCTTTTTCAGGTCTGATGGCTGCTAACTTGCTGCAAGGAAGACGCACTCTGGGCTCTAGTGTGTGCGTGTGTACGTTCAATACTCTAATTTGGATCGATCGCTATGGGCAATGGTCATGCCAGCTTTAGTTTGGTGTGCAGATAGTAATAATCTTCTGCAACTTATTACCCACAACCTGATACCAGTCTTCCTTGTACCTTCCCACTGTTTTACATTGATTATTTTTGCCCTTGCATCACTTACTTGATAACCTGTTGGCACGTTGCACTTGTCTACTGCACATATATATAGCGGAGAGAGTATCAAGTGAGAAGAGAGGAGGAATAGCTTGCAATGTGAATTGACGGCGAATTTAAATCTGGACAGTCAGAATACCGGCAGGATGGGGCTATGGCATTGGCAGGTCACGAAGAAACAAAAGTATTTTACAATTTTTTTGCAGCAAGTATTTTTATGTATGTGTTGCCAGAATCTCCCTCGGCTCGACAAGAATCGACGCAGATCCTACAGCAGCATGACATCCTTGAAATTGTCATTAACTCGAAAGTTATCTTTTCTGGTCCGTCCGTTTCATTTTACTCTGCATAATATTATGTTTGTCTTGATTATGCTGCGTATTAGACTAGTCGTGCCTTGCAAAATTTGCATTCGGCATTGTCCCATGATTTCCCACCCTGTTCTTGTTCCCTGCTGCTGCCACTAAAACGTGTCTAGATACATCCGTATTTAGTCAAATCTAAGACAAGTAGATAGGCTTGAAAATCACTCTGGACAGTCAAAATACATACTGGCACATAATGGGGCTAGAGACAGAAGTATTCTACAGTTCCAACTCATCAAAATAAATAAATAAAAAGAAGCACTAGTTGTTTTTTTTTTTGAGGGGTGAAAACAATTTATTCATCACCAAACTCCACAAGACGTGGGATACAATTTGGAATCCGGGGTTGGCCCAACCACACATGGCGCCCCGGCCCTAACGAAAGTGAAAACTTAGCAAGTTTATGTACGTCTCTATTAGCCGCACGACCTTCAAAAATAAAATTACAGATGCAAGAAGAAGCTCTAAATTAATCTCTTGAATAATTGCAGCGTTTTTGCCCATATGTGACTTTTGGATGTCACTCACCACTTGCTTCGCGTCAGAAGCGATCGTCAGGTTGTTCACGTTAAGATCTTCGGCCAGGGCTAGTGCTTCACAGCATGCGATCGTTTCCAGAATCGCTGGGTCGTCCACTCCTGCGATGACCAACGATGAGCTTCCCAGATAGTTGCCTTGTTGATCCCAACAAACCGCCGCAGCAGATCCTCCTCTCCCAGTTCTCACAGCAGCGTCGACGTGAATTTTGACCCATCCCGGAGGAGGAGCTCGTGGCCTGACCCGAGAGGGTCCGCCCCTTGCCACTGATTCTTGCTTGTTGTCCAACACCTCTAGCTCTGCTATAAATCTCCTGACAAAGTCTGTAGTGGCTTGGGGTGTTTGAAAAATCCCTTCATGGATTGCCTTACGCCGAGCCGTCCATATCGCCCATAACGTGACCGCTAGCCGAACAAATTGGTCATGTGAAAGTGATTCCATTAGTGTAAATAGCCATATCTTAGCCTTTGGTTCGGTGGTAGCAACCAGTACTTGTGCTAGATCATCATCGGTCAAAGCCCACACACACCTGGATGATGTACAGTTCAGCAGTGAGTGTCTCCATGAGTCTAGTGCTCCACACATCCCACATTCCGAACTATCTGACATATTTCTGTGAGCTCGGACATCTTCCGTTGGTAGGGATTGTTTAGATAACCGCCACATGAACATCTTCACTTTCCCCGGTACCTTAGTGCGCCATAATGTTTTCCACGTCCCTTCCTCTGCCACTGTCGACGACGAGCCCGCTGTGTTTTCCAACCATGCCTCCCGCCTCCTTCTGGTTTCAACTAACATGCGATATGCAGACTTGACAGAGAAGGTACCGTTCCTCTCGAAGTTCCAACTCCAGAAATCAACCGTGTTTCGTGTGCAGAGAGGAATACCCAATATGATCTTGGCATCCATAGGCATGAACACCTGGTTGACGCGTTCAACCTTCCATGTGGCGCTGGTGTTATCGATCAGTTCGGCCACCCGTGTTGGTGGGTTGGTTACCCGACAGCCATACGGTCATAACATTTCATTCCTCGGCAACCACGTGTCTGCCCATATGTTCGTTGATTCACCATTCCCTATTCGGCGGATGATCCCTTGCTGTAGCACTTCTCTCCCTTCCAGTATAGATCGCCAAACCTGACTCGGGTGACCGCCAAGAATTGCATGCAAAATATCTGAGTCCGGATAATCGATGCTTTTCAGCATTCGTGTGCTAAGAGAATCCGGATCCTGCAGCAGTCGCCACGCTTGACGTGCAAGCATTGATAAGTTAAAGAGCTCAAAATCCTT